TTTTTTCCCAGCTGGCGCCCAGTTGCCATCTTGAAAGTTTCATCTGTCAATTTCACTTCAAAAAAAAGTATTCATGCATTAATTTCATTATCCCAAATTTCAATTTTTTAAGTTGACCCGTTCAAAAAATTAAAGGGGGGACATTAAAGAAATGCACTGTATTGAATTTACTCAGTTATGAAGAAAACAATTGTTGGTGCTAGAATGTTCAGAAACGTAGATCACAACATTAGTGACAAAAATTTGAGTAACGATTAAACTTCCCTTTCAATTTGAAAAAAGTTGATAGCGCCCTGTCGCTGATATATGATACAACACTATTTTATGAAAAAAAGTACTAAAAATTATATATTTTACGTAATTTTGTCCGACCTTGGAATGTCTTGTTCGAAAGTTAAGAGGAGGACTTTTTACGTTCGCACGGTATACGAATTGCTTATCGGTCTCGAAAGAAGTGTTAACTCACCGAATATTACACTCATATGTATATGTATTTATTTTTGTCGATATTATTCCCAGTTTGAATAAATTAATAATTCAATTTGAAGTTTGAAAATTGGGACGTTTTCAATTTGACACCATCATTAATTCTTGATGGATGCGAATATTCTACAAGCTACGTGCTTACAAAAATTATGGTCAAACAAAGAAGAATCAACAATTCATAAAATCTTGTCAAAACGACATTTCTGTCTTTTTTGAATTGTGGATTTTTTTGGAGCATAAATTTCATTCTAGTATTGAACTTTGCATTCGTTTACTTTGAAGCGAGTTATATTTAAACAGGAGCTGAGGAACAGACAGTAAGAAAACTCAACAAGTCACTAACTGAATCGAAGGGAAAGTTCCAAATATCTCCGTTCATTCATTGAGTCATTCTTAGTACGCGCATAGATGTTTTCATTGATGAAATTTTGTTACATACAGTGTGTCAAAGAAGTTTGAAGTGAAGCAGTGAAGTTTTCGAAAATGTTTCGTACAAAAATTTCAAATATCAGGACATTGGACTTTTTTTTATTATCTACCAAACTTCAGGGTACCGCATAGAACGTGGAGTATCAAAGTTAGGTTTTTCTAAAATGAAACAACATATATTTATTTCCATATTCTGATCAAGTCGGAAAAAAACTTTCAATATTATGTGTTTACCAAGGAATAACGATCTTACACCCGATGGTATACCCGAGGAAATAGACGTGTATTCAACGTTTGTTTGCAAGTACTTGACAATGTTTCATGGTAAATTTTCCTAGTTCGGACTTCCATTGTCTAATTTGGTTCGAAATCTTGCTTTTAGCTACGTCACGTTTGGTTAATGGTTACCAGTGGCGGCCGGCGTTACTTTCTTTCGGGCATGATCTACAACAATATTAAAATGAAAATTTATTGCTTCAAAAAAGATGTTCAATACTTGATCTCTTTTTGTTACAGGATGATGGTTTATCTGAACCATTAGATTATACCATGGAATCACTTCTTCTGGGCCGACATACAAATGCTACGTCACCTAATGTAAGTTTATTTTAATTTTTAACGACTTTTTTTCTCGTTATTTTCATCATTCAGTAAGCACATTTATACATTCAATATTGCCTTATTGAATGATTTTGTCAGCCATATGCTTCAAATGTGCTTGAGTAGAGAAATATGCTCTCATGAAATATGAATTATCTTCAAATCTTTCGTTATAAATCGGTGAAGTGGAAAGCGTGCTATTTTCGTTAACCAGGTATCGTCCACATATGAACGAACAAAATCGGTACTTGTGCGAGCTAAGGGTCAACGAGGACTTTTCTTTTAGCGTTCGATACCTAGTATGGGTTAGACGATATGCATGCAGTGAATGTCTCTAGTCTCAAAGTTGAATTCGAATAAAAGCGGTTGTTTCAAGAGTGGAGCTCATTAAACGACTATCGTCTATCAAGTCCAACAAATAATCTGTTCTTGTTTTATCCTAGTTAGTTTTAGTAGTATTATAGTTTGTATGACTAGAGTAATTCCTAAAATCTTTTCTGGAAATTGGAAGAAATTGCACTAAAATAACTAGAATAATTTGAACTAAACAGAAATGAGTCTCACCACTCTTTTTAATTTCTGATGAGTTCTGAATCAATTGAACTTGTGCAAAGTATAACATAAATAGCTCTGGCTATGAGTTTCAAACTGTAAACGTTTATTGAATTGGTGTTTGAAATGTTTCTTCCTTCTATAACTAATCCCAAAACTGCTGTACACCAAAAATAACTCATAAAATTATCATGTAAATTTATTCTTTCCACATTGTTTGGAATTGGCAATTCTCGGACTGTCACTTTTTCATCCATCATACTGATGAATTGTAGACGTGCGTGTAGATTCTTCTTATATAAATTAGTCATTATTTTATACAGGGTATCTCATAATTTTGTTAACAACCGATATCCCTGTTATTAGAAACTTTTTTTTTCAATTGAATGGGATATATTTTTAGCAGAGATTAATTTTTGAGAGAGAAAGATTTTGCCTTTCTACGTCTCCTTTTTACAAAAAACGTGTGGGAGTCTTCGAAAGAAAGGAAGAGAGCAATTAATTTCAAAATGAGCTCTTTACGAAGATGTGTAGGTCATGCAAAGACACAAATTTCGAAACAACTTCTTTCATATAAACATTGAATTACACGAAAGAAAGAATACTTTCGAAACAACTACTTTTATTACTTTTATATGAACGAATTATAAAAAACACTTCCTTCTATTCAGTTCGTACTCCAAACATTCGTTGTGGAATTGAATCAGATATCATTCACAGGATTGCTATACAATATAGTATATAGAAGAGGTAAAATTTCACTTATATGAAACACTCATTCTCAATAGCGGACATCCGATGTTTTGGAATAATAATAATAATAGCCTTTATTACTCAACAGTTAAAAACCATTTACAGGGTTAACTAAGTATGTTGACTAAAGTATAATAGATCCTTATAATGACAAAGTTACNACATATAAGAGAAAGAGTAGTGGTCCGATAACAGATCCTTGGGGGACACCAAGTTTTACGACATGAGAATCAGAAAGTACATTATTGCAGGACACGTACATAGTTCGTCCCGTCAAGTAGGATTTGATCCAATTTATGACGTTAGATGGGAAATTACATTGTCTTATTTTTTTCAAAAGAAATACTACGAATGCCTTCGATAGGTCAAAGAATAGTGATAAGACGTAGTTATTATTATCAATCTGAGTGTAAATGTAATCGAGAAGATGGTAGGAAGCTGTTTCAATGGATCTCTTTTTAACAAAACCATGCTGAGAGGTTGAGAGTATGTTGTTGCTTTCCAGGTTTTCGGTTATTCTGTAAACTATTATCTTTTCTATTAATTTGGATAAGGAACAGAGCAGCGATATTTGCCTGTAATTGTCAATTTCATTTAAATTACCTTTTTTGTGGAGGGGAATCACAAGTGCCTTTTTTAAAACATCAGGAAAGATTCCTTGCACGAGAGATTGTTCTATAAGAAAAGTTAGTGGTTTAATAATAGCGGGATAGTAATGATATAAATTTCATCCATACCGGAGGATGATTTGTTCTTCATTTCAAATAAGGTTTTCGATATTTCGTATTCAGTGATGGGTGGCGATTTAAATGGAAATTTGATGTTGATTTCCTTTACGAGGGTGCAAGGAAGGCCATGTTCTGTCCCAAGTGATTTGACATAGCTATTTCTGCTGCATTTGCGAAATGATCGGCAAACAATTCCGCAGTCGCAGTAGTGTCAGATGTAAGACAATTTTTGGTTGTAAGAGTAATATCATTTTTTTGTTTACTATGTTTTCGTCCTAATTCATAATTTATTATGTTCCATGTTTCTTTGGTTTTGTTAGTTGCCTTACTTATTTTAGTCCTGTAATATGTTTGTTTTGCCAATTTAACTTTATGTCTATGTGCTCTCATTTTGTTTTTATAGCTTTCCCAAAGGACGCCATTTTCATGGTACGAGGCAAGAACGACTTTGTCCTGGCCTTCACTGTCAACGGCCAGCATTACAGGTCGATGATCACCAAATTCTTTTGGCCTGAATTGGTTGATCCGTACACCAACGACCTGTTGTTTCAATAAGACGGCGCTACGTACCACACAGTTCATGCCACATTGGATATTCTGCACGACCGATTTGAGGGCATGGTCATCTCACGTGGAGGTGATGTGAACTGGCCACCGAGATTGTGCCATTTGACCCCATTAGACTTTTTTTGTGGGGTTTTCTCAAGTCGCAGATGTATGCTAATAAGCCACAAACCATAGCGGTCCTCAAAGCCAGAGTCATAGAAAATTTGACGTTTCGGATGCATCCCCCCCTCACCTATTGATACCACACATAATGGCATCAATAGGTCTTTCAAACGATTAAAAAATTTCGAAGATATCTCACACACACTTTTGTTTTATTCAAATTTAAAAATAGGAAGCGCCCAATGAAACACCTTATACTTGTTTGCCGTGCTAGTGCGAGTCGGTTTAAACCGAGCGGTATAATTTTTTCGGTTATTAAACAAAAGATTGATAATCAAAAGTGGAGCAGTAACGGCCGTTTCGCTTCGTAATGCACAATCAGATTCGTAATAAGACTGCAATCTTCTGTAACTGGTATATGGTAATGCATAATGATGTGTGATTGGCGGAACCAGTTGCTGTACGATTTCCCTTTATTTGCTCCACGAAACCGTGATTGAGTCATTCTTAGTACGCGCATAGATGTTTTCATTGATGAAATTTTGTTACATACAGTGTGTCAAAGAAGTTTGAAGTGAAGCAGTGAAGTTTTTGAAAATGTTTCGTTCAAAAATTTCAGATATAAGGACATTGGTCTTTTTTTATTATCTACCAAACTTCAGGGTACCGCATAGAACGTGGAGTATCAAAGTTAGGTTTTTCTAAAATGAAACGACATATANGTAATAATTGTTTTCATTGATAGGTAAGAAAAAAAATAATACGATGTGTGGAATACAATATATGCAATCCACCCACATACCTATCCAACGACAGAATTTAATTTCTGATCTTTCACGAATGACTCAATCAGAAGTTGCTCTTCCATAATAATAACATCTGAAATCTGTTTTTCCGTTAATCACGTGTCGCCCCCATACGAACGACAACTCTCAGAAGTTGAGAAACTTGTGCGAGCTAAGGACTAACGAGGTCTTACCTTGTAACGTGTGATTCCTAACACGTTCCTAATAATATAATATAATATTGGTACTTCGACATCGAATTTAAAAAATATAATGAAAAAAAATACTTGTCTGTATTTGCAATGGAAATAAATGTCAGAGGAGGTGCTACACAACCGCAACACTATGAGAAACATTGTCAGATATTTGGAGATTTTGTAGTGTGGGGTGATATTTTTATGTCAAATAGTGTCATTCAAATGACGCATTTCAGGATTTTTCTCAAAAATTGTCAGTATATTGTCAGTAAGACAAAAAGTGTTTTTATCCGTTACCGTTGAACCGTACTTTGATAATGTCACTATTCTCAATATTTTATGTTATATTTTATGTTATAATATGTTCGCAATGAAAGGATTAGTAACATTGAGTTTGAACATCTTATGTACCAGCAAGTGCAACAGATATAAGAAAATCTATTTTCAAAGTTCAATTTCATACACAATGACCCGAACCATTATGCGAACAGCTGCACTTGACATTTAAAAATAGTACTACTGGTAGCAGTTAACACTAACAGTGTTTTCCATTCGACTGACGCCAATAATTTCGCAAGTCGCGTGTAAAGATGTTCCTCTACCAATCCAATAATTCTACATTACAAACATTTTGTATTTAAATTTCCTGTTTTATAATCTTACATTACCAGAATGAAATTATAATCAACATAACAAACCCTTATTTAAGAAAAAATATTAATTGCACCTTGAAAATACTCAAAATAGGTGAGGTGTTTATTTGAGTAGGTGAAGATCTTCCTTTTGAATATCATTGAAGGTTTTTCAAAAATATTATACATAAAATTACTTATTTAAGTTGTTACCTAATATCACAAAAGGTACTTGATATTTATGTAATAAACAAAGTAAATCACAAAGTAAGTCACGAGTCATGACAGGATTAGGCACGTGGACTCGGCAAAATGTCTTTGTTGCTTTGCTTGCATGAAATTCAACGCGCCGAACATGACCGATCACAGCGCGGGAACTCCCGAATGCAGTATCGGTCGTAGTTTCGGCAGGTTTGCCGCCGAAACCTGTTTTTTTGCAGAAACTCGACCGAAACCGAACTTTCGGTCGGACACTAACAAAAAGTTACAAATCATACAATGTAGCAGTACCTACTGACACAAATGTTATTCATAGTATTATTAAAAGTGATTGTGGATACATGATACCAAGGCGCCCAGAGAGTCAAAATGAATATCGCAATGTTCACAGATTTTATTGAAGCTACTGCACATAAAATGCAATGGTGTTGTAGCATAACATTTGTGCGACAGATTGTGTCGACCTTTGCTTCTTGGTACTAAGATATTAATCTCCGATAAAAGAACCATACTGTCAATATTGTTGTTTAGTAATTTTTGCAGGGATTTTATACCAAGGATAACTTTCCCATTTTCCAAAGATGTTATATCAAATCGTGTTAACAAAATGTTATGATCGATGCCTCGCGGGGGGGTATTCTCCATCAACTTTTAGACATAAGTATTTTAGGAACTTCCTCTGCACGCTCTCAATTGATGTTTTTTGGTAGTCGTATAATGGATTCAGTAACACAGAGCCGTACTCTAACTTAGATCTGGCATACGCAAAATATAGCAATTTTAAGGAGGCAATACTTTTGAAGTTTTAGCCATTTCTGTAAATGAATCCAAGCATCATATTTGCGTCAGCAGTCATATTCCTTATAGGTGTTGTAAATGTTAATTTACTGTCGTAGGCAATACCAAGATCTTTTATATCGTGTAAGCGGTTGATTTTAGTATTGTTGATTGAATAATCGGGCATTAAAGTTCGCTTTTTTGTTGTAAATGATATTATTTTACATTTGGATACGTTCAGTTGTAAACGATTATTATTACACCAAAGTTTGATTACATCTAATTCATGTACACGTTGGCAGCCAGTAATGTCGTCCATTTTATAATATAGTTTCAGGTCGTCTGCAAGTAGTAGGCTAGGAATATTCAAAGAGGTTGCCAAATCACTATTAAAAATTAAAAATAAAAGGGGTCCAAGATTAGAACCTTGTGGTACCCCAGATGTAACTACGTACTGAGCCGATTTGAAAAATTCATATTCGACGATGCAAAAGCCACAACAATGTGGCAGGAACTCTTGACTGTCGCACGCTTCATACCAAAAATTTTCGAAAGAATGTCGTGCATGCCAACATCCTCACATCTTCTCGGCCTTCTGTGAAAAGCTTGTACCACTTTTTTCTGATTCAGAGTTCAATCAACGTATGCCACTGTCAACATTTCAAGTGTTTTTGAGCGCTCAACTAAATTTTTTACTAAAAATTTTGTGCAAATTTTTCAAACCATTTTTTTTTTCGATAGCACAAAATCGTTCGAACACATAAAACACCTATTACTTTTATACCCCTCTTCAACAAACTAAACATGCTAAACATCTGAAAATGTGAACATACGTTCGATACAAGTGTACCAACATAAAAACAATCGCTAATCGAATGTACGTAACTTGAGAAAATTTGCAAGTTCATCTTATTTTCTGAACAGACCTCTTTTTGATGAAAATCGAAGAATCATCACTACTTACTGAGTACCAAATGAATATTGTTACGTTTTTCTCCGTGGATTGACCAATAATTGACTACACTGAATAATCAAACTTAACTTTATTATGCTATCGCTTTACTAGATCACTTTGCGTACCGCTCTGTAACGTCAACTTGACTGTTTGAATATCTATCGCCTTACTTGATCACTTCGCGTATCGCACTATATCTTCCACTTGGCTGTGTACTTGACTGAGTCGGTTCGCTCGCAGCCAGCGTTTAAATATCGTAATCGAACATCGTAGAATTTTCGCCGAAGTTCCATCGACATCGGTAGCATGACTCTCGTTGCTTCTCGAGTGGCAGGGAACATTGGGCATCCAAGTGCTTTTAGCTACGTCACGTTTGGTTAATGGTTACCAGTGGCGGCCGGCGTTACTTTCTTTCGGGCATGATCTACAACAATATTAAAATGAAAATTTATTGCTTCAAAAAAGATGTTCAATACTTGATCTCTTTTTGTTACAGGATGATGGTTTATCTGAACCATTAGATTATACCATGGAATCACTTCTTCTGGGCCGACATACAAATGCTACGTCACCTAATGTAAGTTTATTTTAATTTTTAACGACTTTTTTTCTCGTTATTTTCATCATTCAGTAAGCACATTTATACATTCAATATTGCCTTATTGAATGATTTTGTCAGCCATATGCTTCAAATGTGCTTGAGTAGAGAAATATGCTCTCATGAAATATGAATTATCTTCAAATCTTTCGTTATAAATCGGTGAAGTGGAAAGCGTGCTATTTTCGTTAACCAGGTATCGTCCACATATGAACGAACAAAATCGGTACTTGTGCGAGCTAAGGGTCAACGAGGACTTTTCTTTTAGCGTTCGATACCTAGTATGGGTTAGACGATATGCATGCAGTGAATGTCTCTAGTCTCAAAGTTGAATTCGAATAAAAGCGGTTGTTTCAAGAGTGGAGCTCATTAAACGACTATCGTCTATCAAGTCCAAGAAATAATCTGTTCTTGTTTTATCCTAGTTAGTTTTAGTAGTATTATAGTTTGTATGACTAGAGTAATTCCTAAAATCTTTTCTGGAAATTGGAAGAAATTGCACTAAAATAACTAGAATAATTTGAACNGAACTTTTTCAATTAATGTATTATAGCAATTGTAGAATGGAGACCATAGAACAGAGCCATATTCTAATTTTGATCTTACGTAGGCTACATAAAGAGTAAATAGAACAGATATGTTTGAAAAAGATCTACAATTGCAAACTATGAAGCCATAAACTCTCAATGCTTCACTTACTTTCGATCTAATGTGATTGGAAAAGGACAAATTTTGATCAAAAAATACACCAAGATCTTTAATTGAGTTACTTCGTGACAGTGAAACAGGATCTACTCGATAATTGTACTCGATGACTGACATTTTCCTACTATAAGGCACTACTTCACATTTGGATGCATTCACACCAAGTCTGTATATTTTCTGTTGTTGCAATGTATTACACTCTTCGATAGTTTTGATATAATCACCATAGGCCACTATGTGGCATATGGTGCCTCTCACCAACAAGCTGAACATTCTAAACAGCTAAAACTGTGAACATATGTTCGAAACGAGTTTACTAGTATAAAAAAAAATTAAAAATCGCTAATCGAATGTACGTAGCTCGTAGAACAGCAACTGGTGCACCTTGCAAATTCACTGGTATTTCTCTGTCAATTTAGGTTTCAGTGTAACAGTTTTTTTATACAGGGTCCTGCAACAGTGGCGTGGTGTTCCATATCTCAATTTAGGCAACAGATAGGAATCTAAATTTCTATAATATCACCTCATTGCTCGAGTTAGACAAAATAAAAATATTGGCGGTCACACAGGGTGTTCAATTTTTTCTGGGCGTATCCCAACTGTGTTTTTTTAAATAGCAACCTATATTTTTTATTGCTTTTTCGGTTTCTACATAGAAAATAAAAGACACTTTATGTATATCTTCACTTCGAAAATATTGACGGTTTTCG